AATGGAAAGCATAAGACTAAGACTCAAAAAGCACACACACTATATTCTGGATGAGGATACTGTTTCCCACAGGGTGGTACTGTTAGCTGTTGTTCAGATTTTGCATACCCAACTAGCATAATTAAGAAAATGGATGGCAGGTTTTGGAGGTCAGGTTTTCTCCCTATGCATTTAATATAAGCAAAGAAAAGAACCTAAAGTGATCCAGAGATTTAGATTGAAGTATCAGTAACAAAAGTTGAGCTGGCGATAACGGCATGAATTAATGCTTAGCTTAATACAGGTATAGGAACACACACACAGTTACAATGAACATAATTTGTTTGCTCTGTCAATTGAGAGGGCTTCAAGAAATGACACCCCAGTAGCAATGAATTCAGTATCCATTGTCTTGGTTTCTAATGCCATTGTCTTGGTTTCTAACATCATTCTCCAATAAAAGTGATCAGGATTCCATAGAGAAATAACTGGCTATAGTAAAGACCCCATACATCTTAATAATACCAGAAAATAAGAAAGTATACAAAAGCAAAGGAACCAAATAAGAGAGCTCCCAACAGCCAAAACTGACACAATTTAAGGTACAACACAAGTTGCATTAGACTATAACTCAAAGCATAAAAATTATTTTAAAGTTCATATTGATACAAATATAAAAATAAATAGGATGATGTAAAAGGTGCAGGGGCCATGTGAGGAAGGCCAAGTCTGACTTCTACTACATCCACAAAGGTGAACTGGCCCTATCAATAACATACATAGTACCAAACAAATAGCTACAAGGTCAGACATAGTCGTCCATGCTTCTGCACTTACTTCTACTAATAACCAAGTCGGATGTGTGTTGCAACCTGACTCACAGACTTTAATCACAGTGGTAGAGGTTATTAGGGAAAGAGGCTGTGAAGAACAGGGGAAGACAAAGGATACATCACACAATGAAAATGCAGGTTCTGTTCAACCACACAAATGCAAGAATCCTCTAGTTTCCTCAATTGTCCAGCAAGCTCTGTCTCACAGCAATCATAAATCAGCTCTTATGTCAATCATCGAACAAGTAAAACCTTTAATTCTGGCTCCAACTTCAGGGCTCCATCAAGCTATGCCTTGCCAGTCTCTCCACAGTCAGGACAGCTCTCCCTCTTATGTTGGCCCACAGCTATTGATGCAGAAGACGCCAATCAACCGTAAACTCTGTGTCTGCAGCCGTAGAAGAAGCTAGAGCAATGGCTAGAAAAGCCATTTTCAAAAGTTCTAATACCACGGATGAGAAGAGACAAATCTTTCACACAGAAGAAATTAAAATAATTTATATAGATACTTCACCTATAGGACAAAGAGTCTAACTCCCAACTCCTTACAGACTAAACAACTTCTTTCAAAAGTATACTTCATCAGATAATCAAGTAGAGCATTAATAATCATAAATCCAATTGATGATATGCACTCAAACATGATGTGATGAAAATGGCAGTTTACGCTCTTCCAAAAAACATAAATCCAATCTAATCATGAGAAAAAATTAACACAAATTCTAATAATGGGGTGGTGGTTGTTGTTGTTATGTGCCATCAAATCACTTGTAACTCATAGCAACCCTACGTACAAGAGTCCTAAACCCTGCTCTACCCTGTGCCAACCTCGCTGTCTCTGGCACACTGACTCCCCACCACTCCAATCACAGAATCGATCCATCTCATTGAGGCGCTTCCTCTCCTGCGTCGTCCCTCCACTCTCCCAAACATGATGTCCCTCTCCAAGGACCGGTCCCTCCTTACAACATGCCCAAAGTTTGTCAGATGCTTCAGAATCCTTGACTCCAAAGAACATTCTGGTTTTACCCTCTCCAGGACAAACCTGTTTGTTCTCCTGGCAGTCCATGGTATATTCTCCAGCACCACAGCTCAAAGGCATCAATTCTCTATCAACCCTATTCACTGTCCAACTCTCCGATGCATAGCATGTAATTGCAAAGACTATAGCCTGGATCAGGCCCACCTTAGTCTCCAGCCTGACGTCGTTGCACTTCAGTACTCTTGAAAGGTCCCTCACAGCTGACTTTCCAATGCAACTAGTCCCCTGATTTCCTGGCTGCTGTTACCAAGAATGCTGACTCCCCCACCAGTACTATTACCAAAATAAGAAAAGTCTGAGAAACTGATAAAGCCAGGAGGAACCCAGCCAAACATGAAAATCAAATGTAATCTGATATCCTAGATGGCATCCCACATCACAAAAGAGGTATTAAATACAATAAACCAGGAATATATGAAGAAAGCATAGACTTTGGTAACTAATAATGTATAAATATTATTTCACTAATTATAACAAATGTGTCACACTATTGTAAGATGTTAATATTTAACTAGATACAGGGCTAGCTCAAGCAGGGTAGTCTGTTACAAGTTGTGCTAACTAAAAGATCAGCAGTTTGAATCCACCAACTGCTCTGAGGAAGACGGAGGAGGAAAAGATGAAGGGTCTCTGTGTCAGAATCGACTAAACAGCACTGGGTATGTAAAGTGTAGAAAAGAATTTTTTTTATTATCTTCACAATTTTACCATAAATCTGAGACTGTTCTGAAAAACAATGTTTTAAAAATTTCTCTCTTCTCTTAAGGCTAAATGAAATCAACAATGTCTTTTATTTCTCAACTTGTGTTACTGATACTTCAATCTAAATCACTGGTTAGTCCTTATTCTGTTTGAGAATTGAGATTTTGGTCTCAATTGGCATAGGACAGAGCAGGATTTAGGGATGTTGTACACAGGGTCGCTATGAGTTGCAAGTGACTCAATGGCATACAACAACAACAACATAATATAAACTGGGCCTAAGGAGAAGAGATCTTAATCAAAGTACTAGTAGGAATAAGAACAAAGAACTTTAATACAGTGCACGAAATTCTACCAGAGAAGCAACACTCACACTAGTCTTTACATGAACTCAGTGGTTTCAAAACAGCTCCCAAACATGAGGTGATGTGATCTGAGGTGAGCACATCTAGCAGAGAACAAAATGCCATGTAAGGCCACTGGGAGCCCACCCTTCATCTCTGTCCCCTTTTCAACATGAGAACCAGGAGACCTGAAGCAAGGAGCCTATGAAACAGAAGTCAAACAATAGAAAGCCAGTCCTTTTGAGCTCTCATAGTTCATATCTGTATCAGCAGTTTGTATCTGTATCAATATCACCCCTGATGATGAATCCCATGGTCTTCCCATGGAACCTGGGGAAATATTCAGATCTAGTAGCAACAGAAAGTATACACTAATTTGAACTTGGTTCTTTAACTTGTCTCCTTCCCAAAGAATAAAATTAACTTTAAAAGCAAATTAGAATCAGAATAATGGGAAATACAGATGTTGACCTGTACTATTTGAACCACTTACATTAATTACATCACAAACAAAAAAGTCAAACGTCCTTTCCTTACAATACTGATTTTTTTCACCTCTCCCAGTATGTCTTTAAATAATCTTGAGAACTAAATAAATAAATAAGAAAAGTTATCTCAGGAACTCTGCAGTATCAGTGCTGAGAATGGGACCCTGCAGATTATTGCATTTTCCACTAACAGATAGTTAAGGAACTCCCACCCTGTGAAACCAAACACATTAAAGTCTTTCAGCCACGTTGACTCAGAGTCTGGGTTCCAGGACTGAGCTTCCCATACTAAACATAATGAGACCCATGCCTTCACCTCTTGGCTATAAATTCAGCCATTACTCAGCCAGTCCCAGGGTCAGTCCTGCCTAATGGGCCCTTCAAGAGCAGAGAATTGAGCAAGGAACACTCAGATTTTCAATGCACTTTCAGTCTATTTGGAGTTCAGTCATTCTTGCGATAGAGAATATTGACAGTGACTCCAAAACAGGAGAAAATTATCCTGAGCATCATTACGTACAAACAAAAGCGGCCTATTAGCACTCTAAATGTTCCTGTTTACCTTCTGAGAGATGTTATGTTTATAAGGCATAATGCTCAGAGATTTAATCAATGGGAGCTCATTTCTGAGCCAGGGTTCACTGGCTAACTCTATAGAAAAGGATAAATATCAAAATCAACCAACTCTCTTTATTTAATTATAACAAAATTCTGTGCATTTTACATGATGTGACATAAACAAATCAAACAGGGGATTAGGTAATAAACCACTATGGTACAGGTGAGGATCAGGGATACACAGAATAAAGGGCTCAGCTAAGTACACAGGAGCACAAGCTATGTCTGAAAGCAAAGGATAGAAATAGAAGTTAGTGAAAGGCCATGAGGAAAGGCAGCTGAGGCCTGATCTAGTCTGAGCACATCCAAGCACAGACAACTGCTAACCCACTTGGTGAAGTGCCATGCAACAAGGGCACCAGCAGGGTGCCTGTTTGGCATAGAGGCATCATGCACAGCCATACATGTCTTGAATCCAAGATTAGTTCAGCACCCTGTTCAGATGCGAACCGCCTATGGCAAAAAAGTCAAAGCGAACCATTACCTAATTCATTTGCCACTGTAATTTCAGTTAGACTTTTGACAGAGTCAGATACAATATCAGAAATCAAGAAGTTGTAAAAACAGTATTAGAAAATTCAAGGTTTGAAGTAAGCAGAAAAGGAGTACTTGAAACCTAGATCATCATGTCTCCAGGACCGAAGAAAAGGTGACCCCATCAGCTGGTAGCCCTCCCCACTATTGCGGACAGGTTTACTTCCACAGACACTTTGCGTCAGTACTTAGCAAGTAACTTCACAGAACAATTAGCTCAAAGAAACCTCCTTCCAGAAAGAAATGTCTCAATGTACATTAGTTTGATGTGAGTTTGAGTATTAAGAAAAAATACATAAATCAGTTGCATAATGAATCCTAACTGGTGAACATCAGAAGTTTCAAAAGGTATGGAGGAGGAAACTCAGCAGATTTAAGGGAACTTTTATCTTCCTTTCCCAACTATACCATTATATATAGTGTATTCTAAGAGCTAAACCAGTAAAAGGAATACAAATACCTGATCGAGCAATGCCACTGTCCCTATCTTCATTTTGTCCTCTGCTTGGCATATCAACTGGTGTGCTGTGTGCTAAAAGGCAGAAGGAAATAATATTATTGGGCTTTTTAAAAAATGAAGAAGCTTTAAAAATACTAGTAATGTTTTTATATTTCAAAATAGGCTACCAAAAACAAAACAAAAAAAGCCCAAACAAACAAAAAACCAAGGCTGCCGCCATCAAGTCAATTCTGACTCATAGCAGCCATCCAGGACTGAACAGAACTGCCCCATAACATTTCCATGGCTGTGGTTAGAGAGGCAGACTGTCACAGTTTTCTCCTGCAGAACAGCTGGTGGGTTCAAACCACCAATCCATCAGTTGGCAACAGAGTGTTCTAACCAGCAAGCCACAGAGTAGAATACTGCTAGTTTATTTATTCAGATGTTAGCTAGAAAGTAAAATTATATACACCAAAAGTGATGATGAGAGCAAGCAAAAAATATAAGAACCAATTATCTTATCGCTTAATTATCTTATTGTAGTATATAAACTTTTTTGAGCGATAGTCACATTTAAAATAATTGAGTAACAAACAATTCATGCAGTTAATAAACATTCTCAGGAAGATGTACATAACCATTTTCTCATTATTAATAAGTAGTATTTGAATAGCACAGTTTTGATAATGATTATGATTAGTGTCAATAGTAACTACAGGCAACTTAGAGAACTATTTCAGAACTATTTCACATATTTAAAAAATGTTTCTCCACTTATAACCCACTCTCTTGGCAGATAGAAAACATTTATATTCTTTTCAAATATTTCTTCCTTAAGTCCTTTGCCATATACACCCATACAAAGTATTACTGTAGTTTTTGGAAATATTCATAAAATGGCAGGAATTTTAGGAAATACTCTGAAATACTAAAGACTTCTAGAAACGCTTCACATTTGTCTAAATTATGTATTCTTTGCCTTGAAGGGGAATGAGATGTTGTTCTCGTACATTCTACAACATACTCCGAAATCTAAGGCCCTGCCTAATTATTGCACTTGCCAGCTATTTTTGAAGTATATTTGTTTTCACCATTTTAAAAAATATAAACATGTTATCCTCACTCTAAGTAGGTGGGAGGGTGTCAGTATCATTAAGGTGTCAGTTAACTATGGTGCTTGGCATATACCAGACTATTAAAAAAAAAAAAAAAAAAGAACAGAGTGAAGAATACCATTCGCCATAAAAACAAGCATTCACAGGTTAGTAACAGAAGTTCCTCACACTTGTTAATCATGCCAAGACAACTACAGACATTTCAACAGCCACAGCTAGCAAGGCCTGTTAAATCTCAGAATTTACCTATTTGAAGTACTTTTGTGATTATACCTGAAAAAAAGAATCCTAGAAACTCTCTTTAAGCTACTTAAATGGTAGCGAGAGAAAGGAAAGAGAAAAAGAAAGAAGTTTTCCATGCTCTCATTAGAGTGATTTGTGAAGAAATGCTGTGCAGGTAAGGATGCAAGTGAATAAATGAATACACACAGTATCACGGCAGAGGGGATCAGCTCATAACAGCAAGAGACCCAGAAAAATCAGAAAACATAATCCTCTTAGAAACACTAAGGGCTCATTTCAGATCAAAATCAGCTTATACACAGACATTAGCAAAGACATTTACAATGGTGGTTCACTGGTGGAATTTTCAAAACACCATAAAGTTGGCTGCATTTGAAACTAATATCTTATCAAAAGAGCCCCTTGGATTTCTTGAGAGGTACCAAATAGGATTTTATTCTAAGAACTTGCACAGGATTTATTAATGCATGTGTGGGTCACACTGTACTCAGCATTCCACACAAACCTGCAAAGAAAGAAGCACTTCGGGTGAGCCGGAGGGGTCCTCCTTCAGCTACCCCCAGCAGCAGTTTGCTGCTACATGCCTGTAGCAGACCTAGAGATAGAAACACACAGAGGAGGGCAAACACAGTACACACAAAAAATAAACACAGATTAAAGATAATGCAAAAAACGAAACACAAAAAACTCAAATAAAGCAACACACACATCCATAATAGCGGTACTCAAAAAGAAAGAATTTGTGTATCTGATTTTACCTAGGTTACTTCCAATACGGCCAGGACCCAAATTATTCTGATTTGTGTTCAGTTTCCCCAAGTTAGGATCTTGGTTAATGTACTCAAAGCTGTCTTGCAAGCTAAAGGCAAAGAGGGGAAGAGAGAAAGAAAGGGGGTAGGAAGTCAAGAAACAAATAAAAGTATTTTTAATAAATTTTTGAGGACAGTCAATTGGTCAAAAAAAATTTTTTTTAAATAAGCTGTCACATCTACCATAGGGAATTAAACTGATAAATTTAGGAGAATTACTAAGAGAAAAATAAAAACTCTCTGGAGGTAGTCCAATCTATACAATTAAACAACTGTATTCTTAGAAATTTCAAGTCATTTAAAATGAAACACCAAACTTTACATTTTGATTTGATGACTGACACCAAGGACGCAGCTATTAATTTTGAGGATACCATTGAGCTGTGGTGTTGGAGAAGAGTATTGAGGGTACCATGGACTGCTAGGAAAACAAACAGACTCATCCTGGAAAGAGCTAAACTGGGCTGCTCCTTGGAGGCAAGGATTCTGAGGCTCCGTCTAACATACTTTGGACATGTTGTGAGGAGGGACCGGTCCTTGGAGAGGGACATCATGCTTGGGAGCGTGGAGAGACAGCGCAGGAGGGGAAGGCCCTCTATGAGGTGGATTGATTCAGAGACTGGGATAATTGGGATGGGAGTGTCAGAGACAGTGTGATTGGCACAGGACAAAGCGGAGTTTAGGGCTGTTGTACATAGGGTCGCTATGAGTCGCAGGCGACTCGACGGCACATTAACAACAACAACAACTACTCTTCCCACTTCCCTAAACTTTTCCTTTTTACTGTATTTCAATTAACATCCTAGCACTTTTATGTAGCTGCTGAGGTTCTGTATTATAAGTATTAGAATATACTCAATAGTACACAACAACTCCTAAGTCAGAGGAGTCCCTGTGTGTACAAATGATTAATGTGCTGGGCTGCTAACCAGAAGACTGGAGGTTCAAGTCCAACCAGAGGTGCCTCAGAAGAAAGCCTTAGCCATCTGCCTAACACATCAGCTGAAAACTCTATGGAGCAGAGTTCCACTTGGACACATACAGGGTCACCATGAATTGACTCCACAGTGTTTAGTTATAAAAAAAAGGACAACTTTTAAAACACCTTTGTCACTGTGGATGCCTACTACTTGTTTCTAAAGCCCTTCTCTCTATATTCCTCTTCCCTCTTGAAAGAAAGGTTCATCTTTCCAAAAACTGACAGTTAAAATAACTGAGGAAAGCAGCAGCAAATTCCCATACTTACTTATTAGTACTCCCACAGAAGCTCCCCATTCTAGCAGAGAAGACCTTACTAATCATCAGTTGTGGGGGAGAACTGGAAAACCAAAAAAGAGAAAACCATTTTTTCATTAAGCAGTCAACATTAGCACCAACTTTTCATAATTAGTATAAAAGTAAGTAAAAAACCTACCGTATATAGTGTATCTTTAAGGTGGAGCCTTGATAACTCATTGCCACTGAGCCAAACATCATCTCTCCTAGCATGTTGACATCAGAAGCTGGCCTTGCATACTACCATATACAAATGAAAAACCCCAAAAATCAGAGTTAGCACAAAGCATGACATCAACGTAATAAAAAAAAAAGGAGTCTTTTGATCTCTCTTTATTGGACAATTACAACTCTCTCTCAAAGTTGCCACTGGTCATTTTAAAATCTTAATCTAGAATAATGATTGCCTACTTCCCCCCGAAATATTAGAAATATTCATGTTTTAATTTTATAATAGTGTCTTCACACAGGATTCAAATGGTTAGTAGAGTTCATTCTTAATCTTATTATAAAAAAAATATTATAACTATCTCCATTTACAAACTCTAAGCAGAAAGATTAAAATATGAAGTTAACAGGGTATTAATTCTTCTCTTGGAGCTAAGAACATATCCTAAAAGCAAAACGGTTCAGTATTATTGACTATATAATTAACTCACTGTCATTCCCACTGCTGCCATATTAGAACCAGCTTCTATCTGATTCTTCAGTAGGTTTTCTGAGGCTGTAAAGCACATTCAGAGATCGCTTATGTGTCTCCCTTGGAGCTGCTGATGGATTAGAACCACCAGAGGCTCTGCCTCTGAGTTAGCAGCATAACTCCAATGGCCAGTGGACCATGCCACCAGAGCTCCCGTATATAATTAGTGTTGCTCAAAAATGACAACTGTTGTAGTCATGGTTTTGTGAAGATACTAGAGAAAACAGATGTCCTGACATCCCTTTTAAGGCTTACAAAAGTCGTTTTCAAGCATTTCAACCCTATAGCTTCAGAGAGGAGGAGGTTTGTTGACTTGGGAGTTTAAGAACTCAACTACTAACTAAAAGCTTGGTGGTTCAAATCCACAAGCCACCATGCAGAGAAAGATGTGTCAATCTACTTGTGTAAATATTACTGTTGTTGTGTACTGTCGAGTTGGAACTGGCCCATAGCTGATCCCTCTAGTGGATTTCCAGAGGCAGTTAATCACATGGGAGGAGACTGCCCATCTTTCTCCAGCAGAGCAGCTAGTGGATTTGAACTGCCTGTCTTCAGGGTTGTAGCACAGCTTCTTACCACTAGGCTACCCGAGCTCCCTTTACACCAGAGTAGTAAAGACTGCTACTAACCCATATTATCTTAAAGACAATGTTCCCATTCTCTGAGGCTTTACCTGTGGCAGGATATCTAATCTATTTACAAAGGATCTTTATCATTAAAAACAAATATATGCAAGATGTACTATAATAACTTATACTTAAAGACTTGAAATACAGTATTATAGAAAAATCTTTACAGTTGACCTCCAGAAACAGATACGACAGAGGAAAAAAAGGTTATCACAAAAAAAAATCAGACCTGTTCACTCTCATAGGACCACTTTCTAATAAAGAGAATGGCATGTACTTTTAACCCATTATGGTCCTATGGACCTATCACTATAAAATTCTTACTTCTATATATCCAGTTTTTAACTGCCCTGATGGCCTTTCACTCAATTATGGATTTATTTATTTTACGCTTTAGTTCCTGATCTAACAATGTATGGATGTATCCTGTTCTGTGATCCAGCAGAGCAGTCACTTATACTCTGTGAATAACAACACACATTTCCAGAGTGTGGGCCTTCTCTATCCCTCAATAAATATCACCCGATTTTATTGAAAAAAAAAAATATTGCCCTGGATACCTTTTTATTTGCCACTGGATACCAATATTACTCTGTCCTAAAGAGTCACTGTGAGTTGAAATCAACTTATTTTAACAGTAAACTGCTTCTGATTGTCCTCACTCCATTTATTCTCGGAAAAGATACACTGTGCTGTTTCCATTTTCTCCCTTCACATTGTCTTGTTTGCCCACTGTAATCCTACATTACATCCCATGACCCACTTCAAAGTGTACTAGTGCATCAGAGTGCACAAAAGCATCTCAGATTACCTGCTAAATCCAGCAGAAGCCTGCAGTTTGTGTTACTGAATTTCTCTCACTAACAAGGTTAGTTACCCTCCTAATGGAACAACTGTGTCACAGGTGTGCCAAATGCCATAATGGCTACCCATAGTGGGCAGTGTTTGGTGGAGCTCCTAGACTGATGCAGGAGTGGCATCTCCCTAAATCACATGCCTCTGGAAAATCCATTAACTTGGAGAAACAATGATAGTTAGAGAAAGGCTTCAGGCCTTTTGTTCATAGGGTCGTTATGAGTCATGCTCGACTCAACGGCAATCAACAACAGCAACAATCTCCTGAGTTTAATTGTTCCTTTTAGAGGAACGACCACATTCATGCATACTATTAATGCTTGCATTTTTTTCAACTGTCCTTATGATTTCTGGTTTTTATTTATATAAAAATGTCCTCAAATCTTTGTATTTAAGTCCAAACCTCCCCACTAAACTGCAGAATCCTATATCCAAACATATTCAGGCTGAAGAACTGGACAGATATAGGTGTCAATTAAACAAGTGCATCACAAGCTAACTAACACAACTTGAGCAAAATCCAACAAATATCTCTTTGTAATCACCTCATCAGCCAGTGTACTGAAAGGACAGTGTCATACACTCAAAAAAGCGTAAGGATCAACTCGATGTTTACAAATACACACAAGTACAATCTATACAGTAGTACTCATGCTTACTGACACATATACACACCCATCTAGTCAGGCTTGCAGAGATGGAAAAGAAAGATAAATACTATAGCTTTAGTCAATAAGACTCTTGCTTTTGTTTCATTAAAATTCATACCCATCTCTTCAAACCAACTGGTTTCATATTCTTTATTTAGTGATTCATAGTTATTAATTGAAGACATTACAAATCTGAATTGAGAGCTCTGGATTGAGGGGAACATTTTCTCTCCCTGCCCACTCTGGAGGTAGGCTGTGTCTCTTTATTTTTTATTTTATATTAGTTTGCTTATAAAGTTCATATACATTGCGTCCACACTATTCTTCATTCACATTTTATTTCATACAATCAATCCCATGCATTATGGTGGGGTTGGTTTTTTTTCTATTTTGTCAGAAAGATTCTTTTATTTTTTTAAATAATTTTTTCTTTTAATTGTCATGTTAACAAAAGTTTACAGAAAAGTAGATTTTCATTCATTCCTTGTTGCACATTTTACCCCTCTCCCTCACTACCCCCCCTCAAGTTGGCTTTTTTCTTTTCACATAATGGTATAAACACTGGTTTTTTAGGGTTTTTGTTTTCTTTTTTAAATTTTATTATTTTATGTGTGTGTACCGTCAAATCGGATCTGACTGGTACGGGAGGAAATTGGCTCTCCTTCTCTAGCAGAGCATCTGGTGGATTCGAACCTCATACCTCTGGGATTGCAATGTGGCTTCTTGCCACTAGGCCCAATGCAGTATGTTTTATAAAATTAATCACCATTGGACTTGGTCTTTTCACGAGGATCCTTCCCATTTCCTTTACCCTCTTCCTCCATCCACCAAACTGTGCAAACCTGTGGTTTCATCCCTTCCCATCCTCAACCTTCCAATCCCATTCTTCGCTCCTTGGCTTCCCATGTATGTTTTACTATTTATCCTTCTAATTTTACAATAATGGTCTTCTGCAGTGTTTGTCCTTATGAGACTGAGTTTGTTCACTTAGCATAATGCTCTCCAGTCTCTCCCAAGTTATGTAGTATTTTTCTAAATCATTGCTACTGAGTGCTTCATAGTATTCCACTTTGTGAAAATACCACAATTTCTCACTCTATTCAGTTGCAGTTGGACATTTGGGCTGTTTCCATGTTCTTGCAATGGTGAATAACATTGCTATGAGCATTGGTGTATAAATCTCCATTTGTGTCTCAGTTCTAATTTCTTTAGGGTATATTCCTAGGAGTGGAATAGCTAAGTCACATGGAGGTTCTATGTTCAACTTTTTGAGGAAATGCCAAGCTGTCTTCCAGACTGGTTGTACCATTTTACAATCCCATCAACAATGTATGAGAGTTTCCACCTCTCCCCATCCTTTCCAACATTTCTTGCTTGCTGCCCTACTGAATTTTGCCACTACTACTAGGGTGAGATGGTATCTCATTGTGGTTCTGACTTGTGTCTCTTATTGACAGTAATTTTGAGCATTTTTCCATGTGTCTGTTGGCCATCTGAATGTCTTCCTTTGTGAAAAGACTTTCCACGTTTTTGGCCCATTTTGTAATTGAGTTATCAGATTTTTTTTTTCCTTCTGGAGTCCCAGGAGCATTCTGTAAACTTTTGTTATGAGACCCTTGTCTGAGATGGTATTGTCCAATGTTGTTTCCCAGTGGGCAGGTTTTCTTCATCTTGATGCATTTCTACTCCTGGACCATCTCCATGTGGCTTCACATCTCTCTTCCTCAATTTTGGCTTGGTCTCTTTCTTGCTTAATCTCTTTCATTTCACAAAAGAAGTCTGGCTCAAAATATACTTACATTAATACTGTCTCATTAATATAACAAAGGTAATCCACGATCACATGAGACTATAACCATATTCCTCTGGTTACGGTTATAGCACAGGGGTTAGGATTTACAACATTTTGGGGGGCACACATTCAATCCATAACAGTAAGATTTATGCTGTATCATCTCACTTTATCACTTTTGTTGAGAGAAAAATATTCCAAGTGTAAAAACTGCATTGCCATTTAAAAGTCTACTCTTTCACACCTTATTCACATATTCCAGAACAATATTCCCTCAACAAGGCATTATTTCCTACAAAGAAATCTTAATGATCCCATGGGGTTTTTCCTCTGACAGGTGATTTTACCTGGTATTTTGGGAGCTGCTCCTTGGCATGTTGTAAAAAACCCCCAGAAGAACTATGGGAAGAGAGGCTGCTGCTGCTGCTGCTGACGCTGCTGCTCATACTGCCGCTTCCTTGACAGCACTTGGCTGACATTTTCATAGAGACATCCTCTGTGTTCTAAGTAAAGAGAGACAAGCATGCTAGAGCACTGCAAAGCGTATCAATCTCATCAACATAGCCTTCATTTAACTTTCAACTCATTGCCATTAAATTGAAACAGTCGCAAAGTTGACCCACCAGCGGGTTTTTGGAGGCTGTAAAATCCCACAGGAGGAGCCTGCCTATTTTTCTCTCTTGTGCTTTGAATGACACACTTTTAATACTTCTTCAGAAGCAACTGTGTAAAGACAGTCATGAGGCTGAGTATTTGAAGAATGAAGTGGTCAAAACTCTGACATGGGAGCTTCTGTGACTCACACAGCATGTGATGGAGATAAGTCCTTTAAAGGCCAGAGGTAACATAGGATTAGCTACTAAACTGTCTCTAAACTGACTCTACTGCTAGTTTTTATAATGGTATTATAAAAGTAAAAAGCTATACCTAGATTAATTTCCACCTTCTCTCTCACAAAATATATACTCCCTACTGAAGCACCCTGCACCCTCTATAACCTGATTTATGCTGAGTCTCATTTGCCTTTCTCTTGTGCAGCTTTTGCTGGGAGAAACATGAATGCAACTGCAGTTTATCTAATCTCCAGTGTGACAGTCACACTGGTGGTCTAATGCAAATGCCTGCAGTCATGTGCATGACACAAACTCATGACGTATTTTGTTTGCCAAGGGGAGAGAGATGGAAGTAGGAAAAGAATGTAAAGAAAACTCAAAATAGAGATGCTGGTTCACTACCGTCACTCTAGCAAAGATGACATTCAAACCCTTGTTTGGTTATTCCAACACTCCTTCAACACCCTCCTCAGACTTAGTCTTTGTTGTTAGATGCCCTTGTGTCAACTATGACTCACAATGACCCCATGAACAACAGAATGAAACCTTGCTCTATTCTACACCATCCTCACAATATCTGTGTTCAAGCTCACTCTTGTGGTCACTGTGGATTTAGCCTTGAGCATTTAAAGAGGCTTGGTGATACAATGGTTACAATACTTAGCTGTAAACCAAAGGGTGGGGAGTTTGAGCCCACCATCTGCTCCTCAGAATGTAATGGTCGGCTTCAGTAAAGCTTTACACCTGCCCTTGGAAATTATGAGGCAGTTCCTATGCTGTCCTATACTGCAGCTCACTCTGAGTTGAAGATCAACTACAACAATGGGTTGGGTTTGGATTTTAAACAAACCTATGTCACAAACCAAGGCGCTCTGGTAGCACAGCGCATTATGTGTTGCCGTGCTATCAGACAGGCTAGCAGTTTGAATCTATCAGCTGCTCTGGGGAAAAAATATGGACTGTCTCCTGTAAAGATTTAGACTCAGAAACATGGTGGACAGTTGCTATGAATCACAATTAGATCAAGGGCAGTGGGCTCTGATCATGGCCAGTGTAATTACTTCTGTTATAAAGATCTCACTGATTTTGAAAACTGATGCAAATTTTTCTACTCTACCATCACGACACCTTTAAGAGCCCTAGCGAGGTGGTATTCATATTCAACAAAACGTATCTACTGAGACCTTCAGGAAAATGGAATGATGACAGAAAAAAATCTCCAACCTACTAAATAAAGAGTCAAGGTACTGGCTCACCTAACTTCTGATACCCATCTACCATTACAGTTTGCTCTAAATCACCCGAGGGATTTTGGCCCCCATCCCCCCACTTACCTAACAAGCCCAGCAACTATTGTAATGATTAGCTACCTGGCAGAATTCCACCTTTAAAGCCCCGTGGAAGCCACCCAGCAAGACTGCCTTTAACCAAACACTTCCTTCCTGCAGAAATGATCTTTATCAAAGGAGGAAAACAGCCCTGTGGCCCTGATGAGACAAAAACTGTGATATAAACTATTCATTAACTCAGTCATATTAACTTCTACAAATCATTAGAATGTGTTCAGTATAAAACAAACAAACAAGAAGAAAAATCAAAGCACAAACCAACCTGCCACCATTCAGTCAATTTCCATTTATGACAACTGTTAATGGGGTTTGCTTGACTGCTAATGTTTATGGAAACAGATTCACTCATCCTTTCTTTCATCATGCTACAGCAGCCAGCTGCAAGCCGCTTCTGCCACTCGGGCAGTTTTCTGCAGTTACAGGTGGAAGAGATTGAGTACTGATTGAAAACAATCAATACAAATGGTGTTATTGTGTGGGCATATGAATATATGTTGAAAACAATGTGAAACTGGTGAAATCTAGAGTTACTGTGGATTGATTGGTGTGGGAATCTCCGATGGTTCAATTCATGCATTCAGCCACTAAACAAACAGTGAGATGTTTAAATCCATCTCTAGGTGCCTTGGAAGAAAAGCCTGGTAATCTAGTTCTGAAAACTCAGCCAAAGAAAACCAGGTCCAGCCCAGTTTCACCCTGGCACACATGGGGCACTATGAGTCAGACAGGTTCAGCAACAATTGGTTTATTGGTGGACTGGCAGGAGACTCAGGCAGACCGGACTCCGATCTTCTCCTTGGACATATAACTTTCCAGTCCTGACTCCACAGGATCAAGAGTTAGCCTGTTCTCCCTCTATGTGTCTTCAACTGCTCCCCTCCCTGTACCTACCTCCCCATTACCTATAAGAAAGAAAAAAGAAAGAAAATGAAATAAAAGCTTTTCTGGCCAAATATATTTGGAAAATATTCCCTTTTGGAGGTAACAAGGCATCCTGCCATACTGTAGCTCTATAGAAAGATAGCTATTTAACTTTGTCTGAACCAATGCTATACATATCTATAAACATCTACCAAAATACTGAGCAGAGTGATGTATTCCTCTCCCTTAAGCTAACACTTCATGAATTTCAGAGTCTTTCTGAAATTTAGAGTTTTTCATTTTCCCATTATGTGTCATACTGGGCATCAAAATCCTGCAGCATTCCAACTTGACACAAATCTGCTTCTAGTACTATGGGTAGTATATGACCAAGTTCCTGTCCTGATTACTTGCTACTTGCTTTACCTATAATTTATTAATGAGAACACACAAAAAAATATGCCTTGGAGTAAAAAGAACAGAAACCTCTGCTTACGTTGCTTATACTTTTTCTCCATCATTAATAGCACTGTCCAGAAAAGCCCAAAAAGAAAGTTGTGATTTAATAAATGATTGGTCAGAGAGGTGGTAAAAACACAAATAAAAAAGATGAAAGTAAACCAGCATATCATACCTGAGCTGCCACCTCTTCAATCTTGTGAACAGCTTTAGAATCAAACAAGACTTGTCTGCCTCTCCTTTCACAGTCCTGGTAAACGATTAGGCGAATCTCATTCAGATCAAATTCCGAACATGACCAACTGTGGAGTAAAAGGGAAAAATCAATTATGTTACCTGCAACACTTGGGATGAGCTTGAATGGATAAGCTGATAAACCTGTGTGCACATCAAAAGGCTACAAAAGTATATGGAGAGAGTGACTCCCCCCTCATACCTGGGCAGTCTGTGAGTGCACTTGGGATAAGGAGCAGCCTTGTCTTCAAACTCCTCCCAAAACAACAAAATAACCAAACCCACTGCCCATCCAGCAGTCAGACTCATATGAGTCAGACTAACAGCAACTTTCATCTGGTTGCCGAGGCAAGACTGTAAATCTTCATGGGAGACTGTCCGTCTTCTTTCCTCAGGAGCAGTTGATAGATTTAAACTACCACCTTTCTGGTTAACAGCTCCTTACATTACACAGGGGCTCCTTGTGGACCCCCGAAGTCCATACAAATACAGTCAACTTTCTATGAAAACAGTTTCATATGTTCCTCAATAGGAAGACCATTTTAAACAGTACACCCTGAAAAGAAAGCTCTTCCTTTTGAAGCTAGCTCAGACACAGCAGTCAAAAATCTCAGATAAGGAGAGATGATAAAGCTGGAAACCTGGGTTCTGGGGGCCACCCACTACTCTATCAATAAGGAGGGAACCATTTGGCAGAAGTCAATAGAGTGTGTCCTCTTCTTCTTTCATCTACTCACCCATGCTCAGGTCAAATTAAGAGGAAATCTGTCCTAAAATGGAACCTTTTATTCCATTATGACTGTCTCTAACACAGGTTTTGGAATCCAACTGCATCAACGTGCAGTATCTAAGTTGCTAAGAATAACCAAAGAGAAAGCAAACATATTATGAAGCAAACAAAGATATTGAGATAAAGTTCCTATGAAGAAAGAGTAACCTTAACGTGAGTAAAGGAGTAAAAGAACTGAGGAAAAGGTAATCATTGAAAATGCACTGCTTTGGGCATACTCATTTATTGATCCACTAATTCTAAGACCACATATTTAAATGTTTACTATGTGAAGGAGCCCTTGGAGCATAATTAGTTATGTGTTGTGTTGCTAATTAAAAGCGGACAGTTCAAATCCCACAGCTGCTCCACAGGAAACAGGGGAGCCATCTCTCCCTCTATAAAGACGTATAGCTTAAGAAACACGACGGAGAATCACCATGAGTCAGAACTGACTCGATGCCAGTGCGACATTTCAGGCACTGCAGCATATCTAAGGCAGTCAGGAGTTAATTAACCAAACAGACTTAGCACCTGCTTTCACAAAATCATAATTTAAGGGGATTGTTGCTATGCACCACTGAAGTCGTAACTGACTCATAGCTACCAGCAAGTGGATTTTCAGAGGCAGTAAAATCACATGAGAGAAGACTGCCCGTCTTTCTCCCAAAGAACAGCTGACGGATTGGAACGATGTGCCTTTGAGTCGTCAGTGTAACTTCTCACCACTTAGCCACTAAAGCTCCCTGTAACATATATTTGAACCAGGGTATTGGTAAAGAATATTGACTATGTACCATGTTGTTCTTGTTATTTTCCATCAAGTTGGAACCAACTCTAGCTGACCCTCCAGCAGATTTTCAGAGACAGTAAACTGCATAACAGGAGATCTCCCATCTTTCTCCTGAAGAGCAACTGGTGGATTTGAACTGCATGCCTTAACACTATACAATTAGAGCTCCCTGAAAAGAACAAATAAATCAGTCACAGAAGAAATACAACCAAAATGCTCCTTAGAAGCAAAGAAGACTTTAGAAATATTGTGAAGACAGGACAATCAATAGAAAAATATCATGTTTGGTAATGTGGTTGGACAACTTCATAGTGTTATAATTTACAAAGAATGCTTTTTTATTTGGAAAGCTTAATAACACAAAAGTCAGTTTAGCAGAGGACAGACTTTCCAGAAGAGTTAAAATTTAATAAAGAGCACAACAGATAATTCTAAATATTCTTTTTTAAATTTAAAAAAAAAATAGAAGATATGAAAAGGGAAAAGTATACATGCCAAACAGTTCAATTATTTTATCCAAATGCCTAAAATGTATTTTACAGAACATGAGAAAAATCTTATTCTTCTTTCACATCAATATAGTTTTTTGAAGCTTTGTCTCACATACTTTGGGTATGTTGCCAGGAGGGACTAGTCCTTGGAGAAGGACATCGTGCTTAGAAGGGTGGATGGACAGTACGAGAGATGAAGACCCTGGATGAGATGGATTGACACAGCGATTGTAGTAATGGGAGTAGGTGTGTTAGTGACAATGAGTTTGGCTCAACATAGGACAGAGTCAAGAGCTGTTGTTCACAGGATTGCTCTGAGTCACAGGCGACTCAATGGCAAAAAACAACAACAACAACAACGTTTACGTTACAAATTTTTCATTTACTACCACTAATATGGAATGGTCCTTGGGTGTGAGGATGGTCACTTTGTCTCTACTTGGGACATACTGGGAAGAGTCAGGTTCAGCAAAAAAGAGGAAGACTCTCAACAAGACGTACTGACAGAGCAGTTGCAACAATAAATAGGCTTTAAATGACTGTGAAGATGGTGCAGGATGGGACAAACTTTCATTGTGTTGTACACAGGGCTGCTATGGGTCAGAACTAACTCAGCAGCACCTAACAGTAACAACATCAGCTGAGAGAATCAGAGAAGGTACTCTGGTAAAGGAAAGGACAAAAGGAGTGAGACAGTGATTCAACAGGAGACAAGCCTGAGATCAAATCTCATCTCTGCCTACCTAAGTAGTACCTGTGGGGTGTACATAAATCTCATTTTTTTTCCTGTACTTGAAAAGGCAATGGATTCCAGCAGACAAATACTAGGTTTTTTTAAATGCAAGACTTCTTGTATCCCATCATTCTATAATTTCAAGTTTGTTATAATTCAGAATTTATGAACAAACTAAAAACTAACCTTCTTATTCAATCTATTTAGTATTTTCTCTGATCACTTGCTATGCATCTGAAGCAGGACAATGAATAAGGATGACAGAAAAGAATCACTGCCTTTGAGCTGTGGTGTTGGAGAAGAGCACTGAGCATCCCACTGACAGCCAGGAGAACAGATATGTCATGGAGAGGGTGCAGCCAAGTGCTCTTTGGAGGCAGGAATGATGAGGCTTCACCTCATACACTTTGGGCATGTTGTTAGGAGGGACTATTCCTTGGAGAGGGACATGATGCTAGTAAGGGTGGAAGGTCAGAAAAGGAGAGGAAACCCCTTGACCAGGTGGACTGACATGATGACTCCTACAACGGGCTCTTTGTGTGTCAGGAAGTGTCAGGATGGCACAGGATAGAACAGAGTTCAGATCTTTTGTTCATAGAGTTGCTATGAGTCTTATGTGACTCAACTGCACTCAACAACAACACAAAACAGTTAAGGGGCACAATAAAATGAAGAGGAATGCATAGTTCATGTTCTCAAGGAACTTAATATCTAGAGGAAGAGATGATTATTTAGGTCTTGAAAACAAGAAAAAGTGGCAAAACAGAAAGAAAAAGGGAGGAAACCGGAAAAATGTTCAGAAGCAGCAGTATTTTAACTAGCAAAGCCACAAAGGATGGCAATGATTAGATAGAGAACAAACGGGGAGAAACTCAACCAAGACTGAGGGCACAGCACAAGCCTAAAGCAACAAACCATCCAATGTCAAAGTCTTGAATAGTTAGAAACGAATTATATAAGAAATAACACTGGAAAGACTGTTTCAGACCATTATCTTGAATTCTTTGCCACTGAGTATGTGTATATTTTGATCTACAATCAGCAGTAGTGTGCCATTCAAAGTTCTACAGAGAGAAAATAACATGATTTAGCCTGTGTGTTAGCAACAGAACTCAAGTGGGTGGAGATCTGTTTCAGGGCAAGTACAGAAGAATTATTAACTTGTATTCCCTGGGTTCCAGGAGTCTTGGCTAATTTGGGAGACAGGAAGGGCTGTACAATTTGCTGCAGAAGGATACACTGGTTCTTCAAAATCATTTCCCACACTAGTGGTTGATTCTTGAGTTTCACAGGAATCAGGTTAGAAGAGGACAAGAGGATGTCCCAGATGAAAACAGTAACATCTTTTCCTCTTGCTCTCACACAAGGAAGTAACTGTTTAGTCAAGCACAAGTTCACATGAAAAGTTTAAAGAGCAATCTTGTGATTCAAGAATGTTACTGTTTAAATAGTCAGGTATGACAGGGAACTTTAAATGATCCAAGGAAAGGTAAACTGTAAGCAAAACAAAGCCAACAATGAACAACAAAACTGGAAAATACTATCCATTTAGCAAATACTTATTTTGCATACCTACTGTGTTTCAGGTATTCTTCCAGGTATTGGGATAAAAGAGTGAGCCAATCATAGTACCTGTTGTTGGTAGTGTGTGCCATCAAGTCAGAACCAACTCAGCAGGGTTTCATGGGCATTTTTAGTTGCACAGGAGGATACTGCCCATTCTCTTTGCTCAGAGCAGCTGGTGGATTCTAACTGCACATCTTTGAGACTGCAGCGTAGCTTCTTACCACTAGGCCGCCAGAGTCACTAATCATATAGTTATAGTCCTAGAAAATATACTGTATCTACTATGATGCTTTCCCAATCACTCTTACACCTTATTTTCTTTCCCCCCATCAACCTCATGATTCCTTCTTCATTAAAAAAGTTCACAAATACAAATATAAAAGTCACAGAAGATTTTCTCAAAAAAGCTCAAATGACTATTATTTCAAAATAGGGGAAGACTACGAGTGGAGGAAATAGGGAAATCATACTCAAGATGGCAGAGTTCTCACCCTGTCAGCACAATTTAATGTACATTATTTCTCACACAGTAACATGCTATGTATTTTAAAGGGGGCAGGGGAATATGTAAATAGATGGCAGTAATGGATCTGGATTGCATCTCAGTGTCAAGAAAACAAAGATTCTTACCCCTGGACCAATAGGCAACATCATGACAGATGGAGAAATACTGAAACGGTCAACAACTTCATTTTACTTGATCCACAATTAACATC